AGAGTCTAGGTGGTTTTTGGGTTAACCGGAAATTTTTTTTCTCGATTTGAATCCTATGTAGATTCGGTTAAGTCTGGGTCATTTTTGCAATCTTTAATTTGTGATCCTTATACGTTTCTTAAATAATGCATTACTTTTAACTTTAGCTCAATGTTACTAGATTGTCATCGAGTTGAACCGGTCAACCTTTGAATAATAAAGTTAAAGTCTATATAAATACATATTTCATGATTTAATATTTTCTCAATTCACGCAAAATTCAAAAAATTATTTATTTGAATCGTAGCCACTTTCCGGACCAAAAAATGTCTTCATATTTGGTTGGACCGACTTAATTAAACATGTTTGGTCCGGTTCATAAACACTGCTCTACTTGACGATTTATTTTTTGCGAGAGAAATTTTCGTCAAAGTTTCATACCAAAAGAAAATAATTTTGTTCAACGCTAGTCCAACAAAATATGTAGCTCAAAGCAAAAACAAATTTTTAAATATTTATTATTTAATTCTTTTGATAATATTAATTTACAAACAAATAATAGTTCACAAACCCAATATATTTTTATATTTATAGTCCAAAAGATCTTTTATTTGTGGTTCAAAATATTTTTTCTATGTATTCCAAACATTTGTTTTACAAAAATATGCTCCATAAATTGATAAAAAAAATTAATGGCACTAGACCATGGCCTAACCCACCTACCCTCCCGCTTTTGTTATTCACTAAAGAATCCCAAATAGACAAATTTTGTTTGAGTAGTGCTTGATGTCGGCTTTTGGCAAACTGGGAACTGCGCTTTCTTAGTCTCTTTATTGTCTCCGTCTTCTGATATGGCTCCTAGGAAACTAATCTCTCTTCCAGTTTGGGTCGTCATTCGCAACATTCCACCTCAATTGTACTCCTATGAGGGTCTTAGCATTATTGCTTATGCTATTGATGAACCTCTTTACACAGACAAGCCTATTATGGAGTCGGATCTTCGTTATGCTGCCAAAGTCAAAATCTCGGTTGCTCTTGATAGGAAACAACCCTCCATAGTTTGTGTCAAAGCAAGCTTGGGAATTCGGATTTCTCTCCGAGCGGATTATCCAAGGCTACCTCCTCACAGTGATCTCTGCAAAGAATTCGGTCACCTTTCCGTCATGCAAATTATCTAACCGGTAGCACTTGATTTAATATATGGTGATTGTTGACAAAAAAAAAAACCCAACCAAGTTCTAAGAAAAAAAATTCAGAATCTCCAAATCCAATCTTTATAATTTTACCAACTTGATCACTGATTGCAAATTCAGAGTCGAGAGTAAGCATTTTCATGAATATGTTTCTTGTAAATGGTGGAAGGAAGCAAAGGATTGGTGGTTCTTTTTTTTTTTGATCATCTAGAATTATATTAAACACAAAGGAGTACATGAAGGACTACAAGAGACAACAAGTTCACTACAAACAAAGCCAAGGAATACAAGCCTCTCTAGAGACATTGATATAGAAGCTAAAGCCTAAGGATACAAAGATTTTCAAAAAGACAAATCTTTGTCTTTAGGAGACATATGAACTAAAAACAAAGAAGATAAGATATTTGATTAAGGAGGAAAGCAATGATGTAAACCCCAAGCTCAAGCCATGAAGCCAATAGCACACCCACAAACTAAACCAAGGAACGTGAAGAAGCCAAATCTGAGCCAACAAACATAAGGGTAGAACAGAACCTAAACCTTGAGGCACACCTGGACACCTGGATAACCAAAACGCGGCTCTAGGACTAACTTAACCAGTAGACAGAGAAGGCGGATAAAAACGTAGGGAGATAAAGGCAACAGAGCAAAGAACCAACGTCGAGTAGCCTTACCATATAAACCGGGAAAACAGAGGAGACA